CCAGGCCGCGGGGCAGGCTTAGAGGCCCTCCCCGCGCGACGGACGGACGATTGACGCCCGGCGCCCGGCGTCGAGGTCTACGGCTGCGGCCCGGGGCAGGCGCCTGCGGGCCGAGGAGGGCAGGCGCGCCAGGGAGGTTGAGCGCGCCAAGGCGAACCTCGCGCACGCTGCGCGCATGCCGCCGCCCGGTACGCCTGTGCCGTGGGACACGCACGAGGCCGAGGGCGTCACGAGCTCGACTGCTGCCGAGAATGGTTCTGCGCGGGCGACGTCCGACGAGCCTGCACCGAAAGCCCTAAACTGACCCGACGGCGCTTCTTCCGGCACCCTCCCACCAGGTGACCGGTCTCAAGGCAAAGGCAAAGGCTGCCTGTCATGTGCATTACACTGGAGCGTCGAGGCTGTACATGGCGATGATGTGGTCCTGACCAACGGCAAGCCCAAAGTCCAAAACATGGCCTCATCGCATGAGATGAAACCCGACAGCCCCAGCAAGGTGAAGAAACCCTAGCGACGGTTACATTACATTGGCCAGTCAGCGGTTAGCGGTGTGCGCCTTGAAGAGCGCAGAGTGAGCAGGGGCACACGGCGCAAGGGGGGAGATCAGGAACGGCCCCGGACATCGGAGGGGCTGGGTGCATTGAGGCCCCAATTATTGGAGCACAGAGGCTCATCATACTTGTGGCTGTCGTCAGGAGATGCGGAGCAAATGGGCCAGAGAGAGATGCATCATGGTATTTATGCATGTAGACGGGGTTGGCCACAGAGGCCCGTGGATAGACCACTTGACGTCTCTCAATAGTAGACAAATCTATACCATACACCGTCATATGCGCAGAATCGTGACAACCCAATTCATACGCCAAATACGTGGACAAACAACCACACGCGCACGATCCAGTCAGTCACGACAGTCACGGAACGTACAGATTTGGTAACAGATGGGAGTTGAATTTCTTCCTCTGCCGCGCCGTCCACCTCAGGGACGCACGTCCAAGCACACACTCTCGTATCCTACTTCGGCCGCTTCATCAAGCAGCGTCTCCGGTCGTGCTTTCGCCATGACCTGTATCCGGCCCTTCCGTCCCATTGTATACAGAGCATCGTACGCGTCCTCCTTCTAGGGGTCCGACGTCTCACAAGTGACAAAGGAAACAATGTATCAGCGGCGCGGCCAGCCTTGTCGACTGAGCCGGCCCAAGGTGCCGGCGACCAGAGCGCCGGCAGTGTATCGGCTGAGGGGGGGGCCGTCATTCCTCAACCCTGAAGCGTATGTAAAAAGTAGCAAAGCAACGCTGGCCCCCAAAGTTTCCATCCCCATTTTTATATGTTGCGAATCCCCTTTCCTCCGCGAAAAAAGGGGGGAGAATCAAATAAGCCCCGAAACGCCATGCGAGTGAAGCACACATTAACAATAAGAATACGGGACCCCATGAGACGCATACAGCGTCAGGAAGAGTCCCGGAGTGTTTGTCTCTCTCTCATCTCGTGTGTCCCCCGCCAAGAGCGCCATGCGGGAAAAAAAAGTAAAGCAGAGAGTCAAGGAAAATGACGCAATGAACAATCGATGCCATGCTATGCCGTATAATGAGCAGGGAGAACAGGCACGAAAATAAGTTGTTCGAGTTGGTACAGTTTATGCAAAGTCAGACTAAGCAAGAATCTTGCTCAGTTGGTGGCTTCGTACGCTGGGGGCGGCATGGGATCACGCTCGTCCCAGAGACCGCCCTGCTGTTGGTGGCGGGTCTTCTCATCGTAGACGCGGCGGGCAATCTCGCCGGCCATCTTCATGATCCAGTCGGGCTCGAGATTCTCAGACGGCGCATTCTCAGCTTCGAAGCGGCGGGCCTTCTCAACTCGTCGCAGCGCGGTACTGGGCGTGGGCTGCACGTCCCGAGCGTTGTCGGCAACGATGGGTGCAGTAGGAACACTCTCAGGAGGCGCCTGGTAGAAGTTGGGAGTCAGAGGAGGGCGAGTGGGCAGACGGGGAACGTCGGCGTTGGTGCGGTCGAAGCGCATCCTAGTCGGCGTCGGAGGCATGGACACCTCATCCTCGGGCTCTTCAGAGATGGAGCTCGTCATGAGGGGCTCTGTAGACGAGGCGGCAACGGACGCCGAGTCGGAGTTTGTGTCGCCTGCTTCGCTCTCTTCGGGAAGCGCCGTCTTGGTGCGCCTCAGGTTGACGACTCTCGTCTTCTTCTTGCGGCCCGTGTACGACTTGGATCGCGTGTTGGAGCCCATGGCAAGACCTGACATGGCTGAGTTGAGGCTCACGAGAGAAGGTCGCGAAGGGAGGTAGCCGTGCGATGCGCTTGCCGTGTCGGAGAAGGTGTACGTCGTCGCCGTCGCCGTGCCGGCGAACGAGTTGGTCTTGGACAGGCTCGGCGTGGCCGTTGGGGGCGTGTTACAAGCCGAATCAGAAACGACGTTGCCCGTCCAGGCACGGAATACGACATCACGGATGTTCGGGGTGAACAGCGAAAAGGTCCTGTGAGAGTCGTTGAGGGCGCCGAGGCGCAGCAGGTTCTTCTGGGAGAAGAGTGACTGGACTTCAGGGCCGCCCTCGAGGGACATGGATGCAATGTCATTGGGATCGAGCAGGTTGCCGTGCGCGTCAACAGGATCCAGAGGCGGGCTCGAAAAGGGATCCACAGCCGTCTCATCGGCCTGCTCCTTTGCAGCCTCCTCGTCCTTCTTCTGGGCCTGGTCCGGGCACCAGAGCTGCAGCGACAGGCGATGGATGATGGCCGGCAGCTCATCCATCATTAATGTCCTCAGCTGGCCCTCGATGGTCCTCTGGAGGTAATCGCGCACAAACTGAATCGAGTCAAAGGTCGATGAGACCTTGAGCGACTCAAGTGGGTCATTGCGGAACACCAGGGTCAAGCCCTTTTGCTTGGAAAAGACGAGAATGATGAACGCCGACAGCTTAATGTCGGACAGTGTGATGGAGAGGGGAATTGTCAGTCCCGAAGAAGCCGCTAAGGGCTGAGGTGACGTGAAGGTAGGCTTGGAGTAGAGATACGAAGCCAGGGGGTTCGCCTATTGTTGATATATTAGCCGTCTGTTAATGGTGCACGTTCGAGGGACCCCTGCCCCAGGGTAGCAAGTCCAGACGCGCATCCCAGCATGGGCAAATTGCATAGCAATGCGGAGAGCTGTGCGTCCAGAGGGGGTGATGGTTGTTTGGTGACACGGAAAGGAGGGGATGGATTGATGGTGGTGCGGAAGCTTGCGGGAGAACGGATGTTGTCCGTGGAGCGAGAGCTCCTGCACCTCCTGTTTGGTGGTGCATGCACACACCAGAGAGAGAGAGAGAGAGAGAACGTACTTGGACGCGTGTTTTCAACGTCAGAAAGGCATCGCCCGAATAGGACATTTTGAAAATGCCGCGGAACCTATCCTCGGCGAGGTCGCCAATCTCGAGAATCTCCAGGTCGGGGGGCACGGAGCCCAGGTTGAGCTCGGTCACGAGAATGTCATCGACAATGATGGGCGGTTTCGGGGGCTTGTTGAGGGCTGTGGTCAACAAGTCGCGTGCGCGCCTGTAGAAGTCTTCGTCGGCGGCCAGAGGCGACCAGTTGAAGTTGAAGGCCATGTTGAAATGGCGTTTAGGAGCGGGAGACCATCGAAGGGAGGCGGCGCGTTGATGACGACGGGGGGGCACGATGCGTGCGTTCGAGTTTTTTTAGTAGTTTTTTTCCGGCTTGTCGTCTGGTTATCGGATTCGAAAGATGGGAGATGTCGCAAATCTCAGTGGGCGTACAGGAGGCGATGCAGACTCGTTGAGGAGGTTCTAGTCGATGATGAGGTGGTCGATAGGTCGCAAGGTAAAGGGTCTTGACGCTGGAGGAGAAGGAGTAGGTAGGGTCGAGGCGTCAAGATGCGTGGGCTGTGTGTCGGGCGTGGAATGGAAGGTCTCGGTATGACGCTATTTGATATCCCGGGGGGGGCAGAGCTTCTGTAAAAAGCCTGGAAAATGCGAGAGCCGAGCGCTGGAGCTGCAGCTGCAGCTGCAGCACCGGGACCACAAGGAGCAGAGGCAGGGAGACGGGAGGGAGGGAGGCAAGCGCACGAGCCAACCCGAGGGAAAGGGCAGCGAGCCGGGAGAGCACGGAGGAAACGGGGCGCACGCTCTAGCGCGAGAATTTTTTCTCGTGCCCGTCAAAGCAAAGAAGCACCAAAGACAATGCAGCTCCAGCCAGAAGCAACCCGCCCTTGCCCCCCATTGCCCCCTAAGACGACCCCCCCCTGCACGCGACCTCCTTCCTCGCTCCATATTCCCCCTTCCTTCCCCCCCAAAACACGCCCAGCCGACCCCCGGAAAATCACGTATCGCCAGTCACAGCGCCTCAAAACGCCTGACCCAGCCGTTGGCTCCACATCGGGGTACTCGTGGTTGCCAATAGTCACTACCCGCTGGAGACTATATTTTTCTTATGCGCGGCCTCTCAGTCGTGCCCGCCCTGTCCGCTGGCCCGCCCAGCGCAATGCAAGTCACCCGAGGCTGTCCGATGACCCGGCATGTCACCATCTGCTGCTGTTACATGTACATGTAGCAGGCAGGGCAGGCAGGGCAGGCAAGGCAGGTACCTTCCAACTGGAGCTGGAGCCAAGCGCTCGCAACAAGCGTCATCCTGCCATTCCCGGCCAGGATGCGCCATCGAGGGCCAACAATCAATAACAACAACAAAAGAACGACGCCCTAACGAGTAGACTCCTAACGATGCATGTGTCTGTACAAACAACGAAACGCTCCGCCTGGTCAGCCAGCCCGTGTGTCTCGCCTTTCAGTCGCTGATGACCCGTCCACCCGACAGCGACAGCAGACCAATGGGCCAAGATGGGTCGACCATCACGTCAAGCCGCACGACAATGGGGCCGACACGGCACACCTGCTTGTGCTGCGCCCGCAACAGGCTCGATCATGGCGATGCGAGAAGCAGCCTTTTTGGCCTTGCTGCTGACTGCTGTCCCCTCGTCTTCTGCTGTTCGTGTGAGGCATAATGACCAAACGAGAAATCGAAGGAAGAATGAGATGCGCGCTTTTGGAGAGAAAGCCCGCACACCACCACGACACCTGCATCAGGAACAGGGAAGCGGCCTATCATTCCCTGATTCTCCCACACCACCACGACACGACTTTCCCTCCAGCTAGGCCGCTCGGCCGTCGCGCCGTGGCATTTCTCTCCCCGTGGGGTGGGATTCTTTCGACTGCTGCACTAATTCTAAGGCAGTGGTAATTTCCTGAGGTTAACGCCCCCCCGCAATTTGGCGTTGCCGTGCTGCCACAACGGGCCTAGAGAGCAGGCTGCTTTGAAGAGAGGCAGACGCGACAGTTGATAGTTTGTGTTGTGTTTTGACTGTCGATCGTTTCACTGGTGTGTAACTGGTGCGTAGGGACGTATTGTAACAATGGGTTTCTTGCCATGTTTATGCGTGTTCCTATTTGTTGTTGTCGGCTGCAGCGGTGGAGCAGAGGAGTGGTGCACGCATGTCGTACATCTTGGAGCGAAACTCTCGGCCGGTGTTCGGCTTACAACGATCAAACATCACGAGCCATCCGATTACTGATACGTGTGAGTATAAGGTAGTCATGCAATGGTGACTGTGATTCAATGCAGGGGAGAATGTATCTCTCCGCCTCGATGTGAGGTCATTCAGTGTACGCTCAAGTATCTCGGTCTACTAATCACAACCAAGCCAACTTACACCATCTAAGGACGACTTCCATGAGCGAGTACATGTAACTCCCACGCCTGGCATGTCTCGCCGATGTGTGTAATACTGCCTATAGCGATGCATTGTTCACGGGCCCCACAGACAGCCAAAGCACAGGCCATTCCATTCCATTCTTATCCCTTACACTCGAGTATCTACCATGTACACTAAAGTCCTTCACGTTCGACCCATGTGCGTATGGTGTCGCGGAGCAGCCTATGAGGTTAGCTATACCGGGCTCTTTCGGGATTTTATCTCTCTGAGCTTTACCATGCAGCATGTCGCCAGGGACATGTTGGCGGGGGTGGAGGGGTGGAGTTGATGCTTGATGACTCTACGGTAGCGGGTTGCATGCGAGTTCAGAGAGCGCCGAAGTGCTTCTGCCTGATCTTCTCCATATTCAGCTCATATGGCATAGCCTCCAAGAAAGTTGAACCTCTACTGCGACTGCCTCGAATGTCTGCAGTTTTTCCCTCCAATACCCAGCTCTCTGTCAGAGCTGCCAGAGCTGCCAGAGCTGGGCTTGTTACTTGAGTACCTTACTCTAAGGGAGTTGATACGGAATGCCGTCCACATGGACCAACGGGTCTGTTGACGTGAATCAGTGGCGATCCGGTTGGCGGGGCAACATGGCACCAACGAATCGAGTTCAGAGGCAACGCCTCACCATTGACTGTTCGTCTACGTTTCGCATCGGAATCCAATGCTACTCTCGTCCCATGTCGTGAAAAAGGAAATGCGGCGAGGAGGAACGAGTCTTGCAGCGGTTCCCAACTTCAAAGAGGAAGGCATTACATAAGCCAAGGCTGCCCGTTGCGACTGTCCAACTCGGGACGCTTGTGTCGTCATGGTTGAGTAGGTGCCTAGCTGACAGCCTAGCTGACAGCCTCGCTCAATCCGGGCATCGTGGCTTGGACTTCAACCGTCGGCTCCAAGACATCCAATGTGTTCCAATACATGCCGAATGCACGAGCACCATCTACGGCATTGGGCCAAACATTGACCTCGACCTCGCCAACGTCAGAAGTAGCAACACGAGCTGACACGAGCCTGGCCCACAAGCAGCAAATGGGCCACTCCATCTCCAACCTCACACGTCATGTCCAACACGCAAAGGCCGCCTGGCATCCCCAGGCTCGGCGACAAGTGGCTCGAGTTTGTGGGTGAAGGCGCCGCCAACACGGTCTGGGCCCTCCATTTCATCGACGACAGCGGCGGCGACGCCTACACCCAACATGTCCGCCAATTGTGTGGTGAGCACCCATCTCTCCCGTGCCCTCCTGAAAATCCCAGACTGACCAACCATCCAGACGGCTTCCTCCTGCGCATCCAGAAACACACCAAGGGCGGCGACAGCGCCATCTCCGCCACAGACCAGCTCGCCTACGTCCAAGAGACCATCCTGCCCGCCTTGAACAACGACGCCTCGCTCATCGTCCGGCAGAAGCTCATCCAGGTGACCCAGCCCCTGATAGACGAGTGCAACGCCCTCCTCGCCGCCATGGACGACAACAGCCAGCCGCGCCGTGACGAGCCTCCCTCCGCCCCATTGTCGTCGTCGTCGCCACTGCCGCACCCCCACCTGCCGCGACGTGCCGCCAAGTTCGTCGGCTCCCGCGTCGGCCCCGCCGGCGCCCACATGCTGACGCAGGACATGCGCCCGCGCCGCCCGGAGCGCGAGCGCTTCCCCGAGATCAAGCCCAAGTGGTTCGCCAAGTCGCCGACGGCGCCCCGCGGCGCGAACACCTGCCGCAACTGCGCCGTCGCCGCGAGCCGCTGACACGCCGCCCCCGCCGACGCCCAAGCCGAAAAAGTCCGACCCCGACCGCTACGGGTGTCCCCTCCGCCTCGTCGCGCCGTCGCCGGCGTCCGCGGAGGGGAAAGAGGAGACGCGCGAGAACGGCGAGAAGGAGAAACGCGAGAACGGCGCGAAGGAGCTGAAGGAAGGAGAGGCAGCGGAGCCATGGCACGGCCACGCCGAGCGCATCTTCCGCGGCGAGGACGCGCGCGTCGCACGCTTCCTGTTCGCCGAGATCCGGCGGCACGAGGCGCTGCGGTTCCTGCGGGACCTGCAGGCGCGGTTCGCGCGGCGCGACACGTTTCTCGCGACGACGCCCGCGGCGCCGGACGAGGACCTGCTCGTCGCCATGACGCTGCGGGACTGCTCCCTGTTCTTCCGGTACGAGGACGGCGAGGACGGCGCGCTGCGGCTGCTGGACTTTACGCTGGCGGACCTCGACAAGAAGACGCCCGCCAAGATTCCGAGCTGGCAGAAGACGGAGAGGGAGCTCATCGACGGGGGCTGGTATGAGGGCAAGCAGGGCTGTGGCATGCCGAATTGCTATCTGAAAGAGGGCCGGGCCGAGGATGAGACGAGAGCGGATGTGACGAGGCTCAAGGATGCCTCCAAGTTGGGCGTGGCCTACAGGGAATAGGGTTTGTCTGCCGTGGGGAGCGTGGGGTGGGGGTTAGACAAAATCCGGGGGGGTTAGACAAAATTCGTGACGCGGCGCAAGCTGCATTACTTCAATATTGAGGCTAGTCACGGACCATGGACGCTGCAAAGGGGCATTCTCTATATTCTATCGAGCCGGCTTACGTGTCCATGTCCATGAATATCAAACATTCTATCATAAGGTACTCGGAAACATGTACTGAAATCTCACCTGCGGAACCACGCTCTAATCTTGTCTCGCTTCCTCCGGTACTCGTATTCAGCCCGATCATACGACTTCTTGACAACAACGTCCGCCACCTTTTCGGCGCCCAGCTGACCGGCTCCGACGATCAGGACCTGTTCCGCCACAACGTGCCCAGGTTTATCCCAGTGATGTTCGTTCTTCACACACTCATTGCCAGCTGGTTCCGCAGCAACAGCCCCGTCATCGAGACCCAGCTCTCTCTGAATTACGCTCACTGGCCTGCTGGCGATATCGGTAGTCTCTTTGAACAATGAGTGGTTGAGTCGATGCACCGAGTCCCAGGCAAGCACGGAGCACACGCTGACAGGCGAGCTGAACGACAAAGACGTGACGTGCTCCGCCATGAACGAGCCCGCACCATGCAGCCAAGAAGCAACAGTCTTCGCGCCGGCGCCGACCTCATCGTGGCCCAGCGTCAGGACCGTCGTCACCATTTTGGTCGCGGCGCCTTCGACCAGGCTCTTGGCGATGATCCGCTTCTTGATGTGGATACCAGCACTCTTCAGGGCCCTCTTCAGGTCGCGGAGAAGCTTGATGTTGCGGGCCAGGTCGTAGGCGTTGCAGGCTCCTGACAGGAGCAGCCACGGGAGCTTGATGGAGAGGATGCCTGAGATGAAGACGCCGAAACCGCTGCGGCTGATGTTGAGGGCTGTCATTTTCGACAAGGGATCGGGGTGGAAGGGAGCTGGTTTCGGCTTTGCTGGCTTGGTCGTTGGATAGATCAGTCTTGAGGAGAGTTGTCAATAGTTTGAAGTCAAGAGTTATTCGGTACGAAGGACATCTGCCCTGGTCTTCAGTACTCACAATGCAGCATGTATTTTGCTACGCACATCAGCCTTGCTGGAAGCCTGGGGGCCGAGAAGCTCATGGTTACACAACCCAACACGTACATCTCCTGCGGTCTGTTGAGTGGGAGAGATGAAAGGCGTTGAGTCTGCGCTAGATAATCGGGTCAGTGGTGGCAAGCCCAGCCCCACAGCTCGGCCTCAGCGTGGTGATGGTTTACGTTCTCGTGGCGTGGGATAGTTAGGTGTGTTGCACTTTGGAAAATGGTCGCCCCCGACTAGACGTATGGTGAGTCCCGGACAACAGGCTCAACAATGTTGAGTCTACTCAAGCCATATAGCCCCAGTGATCCGAAAGGTGCTGAAAAAGACTATGAAGAGGACTACGTGATGGACAGTACTCCCTGTTTCAGATAACGAGGCGGCCTTCAGCTGGCTCCCGATGGCAGCCAAAGACGGCCGGCACCCATGCGGCCACATGTCAGATGGTCGATCAGCCAGGCGGCTGATGCCTTTGGGCGCAGGCAAGAAGGTCCCTTTACTATGGCTTTCCCGACGACCTGCAGTGGCGGCCAGTAATCCTCCGATTGTGCACTCCCCCCCATCTCAGCTCTCTGGGGGCTGGGCAAGGTGAGTGCCCTTGACAGGGGGAAAGGCGACAGGCGGGTTGGTGGATGATATCATGGCAGACGAAAACGCCGCTCGTTCCCTGTTTCTTGAGCTTCATTGCACGCTACAGTCTGTCAGCCATGTCATCTTGCCCACTGCCCGCCAGGTCACGGACTTGACAATGTTGTTGAGTCGCAGCAGCTCTGATACAGTTGGTTCGTGGTGTCTCGGAAGCCGCACGTCGTCCACGGTTTTGAGACATGGGGCTGGGTCGTAAGGCGTACTAGCTGAGCGTCACATCCGCATCCCAACTGCAAGGGCCCTGTTAGCCTTACAGGAGCCTTCCATCTGTGGTAACAGGTGTGGCGTAATTCGTTGACACAGGACAACTTTCATGGCTTCTCATTGCCAGGGCTTCATTGCCAGGCTAGACTTCACGGACTGAGGGAGCTTCACCTTCAGAGCGAGCCAGCAAGCAGAGAGCAGAGATCTTCCGTACACCAAGCCATGCCACGCCCATTGTTGCGGTCAGAAAGAAGAGCGTCAAAGTCTGGCCCTCGTCTTGAAGCGCTCACATATGCTCCACATATGCTTGACAATAACCTCCAAAGAAGCCGATTGCTGCACTTGATTCAGTACGCATCGTCTGAGCTCAGAGGGTAGACTCGGCAAGTTGAAGCCAGAGACGGTAGACCCCCACGAGCACGAAATAGAAAGAATGCGTTCCTTGGATTCACGCCAGAAGAAACGGAATCTTCGCCAGGATATTGACTTGTATTGATAACCAACGTCATTTACCACAGTCATCCCGAACCCCTGACCATACCTGGGTATCTTGCCAGAAAAATCTCGAAAATGTCTTCAAGTCGTCCAGGAAAGAGGTCGAACGTTGTCAGATCCTTTGGCAATAGAAGCAGGATACCGATGCTCATTACCAGGAGTACACAAGGTGCCCAACATTCTTTGCAAACATGAATCTATCGCCATATGCCAAACGTGCCTCTATCGCCAAATGCCCAAGCCGAGCAAACGCCAGGAGGCCCTAGATCCCCGCAACCGTAAAGCTCAGGATGCTCCCGACCGTCAGCCCCGTCACAAGGCACAGCCCCATGAAGCCGCCGGCGACCTCCCTCTCGCCCTCGTCGACCCACTCGCTGCCGGCCATCATGCAGCTCGCGCCGAGCCAGCCGTTGGTGAGGCCAAAGGGGAACTGCACGACGGCGAGGTAGAAGAGGTCGCTCGCGACAACGGCGCCGCGGCCGTTGAGGTTGCAGAGCAGGTAGAGCGGCAGCCAGGCGAGGCGCGCGACGGCGAGGGCCAGCAGCAGCGGCGGGCGGCCGCGCAGGCTGAAGGGCAGGGCGGTGGCCATGCGGCCGGCAAGGTCGCCGGCGTTCCAGACGAAGAAGGCGAGGGGGATGAAGGCGGCGGGGCGGAAGAGGGAGCCGGTGGCGCCGTCATCGGCGGGGCGGACGGAGAGGATCTTGCCTGTAAAGACGGGGAAGAACATGGAGACGGCGAAGCAGAGGGCCACGGCGGCCGAGAGCCAGTGCAGCTTGCCGAGGAGGGTCAGCGGGGAGACGGTCTTGCGGGGGTGGCCGCCGACGGTGGAGATGCTGGCGTGCGAGGCCGACATGTCGTGGGCGTCGCGGGCGTCGACAATCTGGCTGTGACGGCGGACGAGGGGTACAAAGGCGCCGAGGGCGACGAGCGAGACGATGACTGCCGTCAGGAAGTAGATGAAGGCCGAGGAAGAGGCGCCGCCGGATGCCGGGTCGGAGGCGTCTCCGTCGCGTCGCATGCCGCCGCGTCGCATGCCGCCGGATGCGTCTTCGGGCACGGCGAGAACGGTCATGATCTGGGCGAGGGGCGGCAGCACGCCGGCGACACCCTGGCCGGCCATGAGAGCCTGCATGTACTCGGGCCTGCTGAAGGAGGCGGCAAAGGCGAAGGCGCCGTTCTGGATGAGGCCAGCAGCGAGGGCCGTGGCGGCGACCATGGTCAGGAGAAAGGTGAGGTACAAGGCCGGGGATGCGTCGAGGAAGATGGACGTTGACGCCGTGAGGAGCATGAAGATGACGACGTTGATCGTCAGCGCGAGGTTGATGCGGAACGGGTACGAGGCAGCCGCTTGCATGTTGGTCAGGACCAGCATGGCGCCGAGGTTTGTGATGGTCGAGACGGTCAGGATAGCCGACTGGAAGTTCTGCGTGATCCAGACATCGGATCGGAAGCGCAGCTGGAAGTAGGGTGCCGCAGCAAGGAACATGTTCCTAGAGGAGGACAAGATCAGCTGCCTGTGTGCATTGGTGGCGGGCTTCGCAAAGGCTCACCAGGCCCAGAGCATCGCCATGCCCAACAGCGCAAAGATGCTGTACTCGAACCACGAGAAGGGCACGCCTTGGCCGTCGTCTTCCAGCAAGGCTGTGCCCTCCATCGGGTTGTCATGCTCGATGATGGGACTGTACTCGTCGCGGACGTCCTTCTGGCGGAAGAGGTCTCTGATTCGATCCATCGTATTCGCTCGGACGCACCCTGAAATGCCGGTGGTGTTTGAAGTGCTACTCTATCGTGACATGAGGGGTCTGGGGGATGTTCGTTCGGGTCGAGGGGTCACCACTCGGAGTGATGGCGGGTCGCAATGGAGACGGCTGGTCGCAATGGAGACGGCTGGTCGCAATGGAGACGGACGGTCGACGATTATGCCGCTTCCTTTCAATAGCGATTGGCTGCGAGGTCCGCGTCGGGTGCCGCTCGGAGTTCGAGAGCGCGCAAATCGTCTATTGATGCAAGGCGCCTGACATGATCATGCGTTTGGACCACGAGTCGTCGGACATGTCTTGGGTGTCGAGGTCGTCAATCACGCCGGGATCCTTATCAGTCTTATCTTCTTATCTCCGCCCATGGCGGGAGGCGCAAAGCTCAAAGCGCAAAGCTCAAAGCGCAAAGCGTGGGGGCGCGTCACGAGACGAGTCGGACCATGTCGGCGTTCCCAGTTCACATCACTGGACTTATCGTCCCCTTAGCAAAAGCGAGCAATCAATACCCCATGGTAAGCTCGTGGTTCCGTCAGATTTTTCATTGCACAGTTTGGCCTGAGGTACTCGGCTCTACAGGCGAATCTCGTATGCGAGGCAACAGTGAAGTCATGGCCTTCGCCATTAAGCATGCTGAAAGAAGCTATCGACCCAGTCCTCTACGAACTAGGCTAAACATGTACAATAGAATGAACTCTCCAGGCGAGGATTCTCCCGCCACCAGAAGCCGCCTACGACTCATAATCAGAGGCACTGTCCGTGGCGAACCTGCTCGTAAACCTGAAAGTGGCGAGCCCTTGACCAAAGTTCTTGATAAACCCTTCGCCTGCCTCCGAGCTCGTGTAGACGCCGTCGGTGCTGTTGACGCCGAGGTTGGACAGGATACGGCTCGATGAGCCAAGCTCGCCCACGGGCTTGCCCCATTTGTACGCGTCGAGGAGCACCTGCAGAGGCCGGCCAGACGGGTAGAGGGGCGACGATCCGAACAGCCTGAAGAGGTCTTCAGCGCCCGTCGTGACGATGATGCCGTCAAACGCTGTGGCCGAGGCGTGCGAGTACGTGGTATCCACGGCACCATCCAACGTCTCGCCCACGATGCTGACAACGAGCCCCTCGGCCTCGAGGGACTCCTTCAGAGCCTCTGCCTGTGCCTGCGACTCTGCAGACTGCAAGCTGCTCAGCAGACCGACCTTGAGCGTGGCAATCGTGGGCAGCCGGTTCTCGGTGATGGAGATGCCACGTGTCGTGTTGTCGTGGTAGTACTGTGAGTCCGGTTCCAGTCGGTCCAGGCCCAGGAAGGACGCAACACGATTGGCAACGACGTTGCTGACCTTGTTGAGCTGGTGAAGAACATTTCTCTTGACGTCGTCGGACTCGAGGTTGGATGTCTCGAAGCGAATAGCGTTGATCAAGAACTGCTGTTCAACACGAGACAATGAGTTGTAGAAGAGACGTGGTTGAGACCAGTGGTCGTCAAACGTCTCCGACCTCTCACGAACGAGACCTCCATTGGCCGTTCGTCCAGGCGCTGTGAAGAAGCCGCGACCAGTCGTCTGGTTGGCTTGCTTGGGCGACCCATTGTTGAGCGTGTTGGGCGTGTCTAAGTCGTCAGAGTCAGCGTGCGAACACGGGAGCAGCTGGAAAAGGGTGACAACGCACAAGGTCTCTTGTTGCGATGAATGAAGTTCTGCGCAGCGCCATCACGGTTATTGTTGTGGATGCCGGTGATGGGGCGGTTGATGGGCAGCTGCTCAAAGTTGGGTCCACCATGACGGTTGAGCTGGGTATCGAGGTAGGAGAAGACGCGACCCTGGAGAAGAGGGTCTTCGGTGAAGTCGATACCGCGAACAATATGACCAGGTTGGAACTACCAAGAGTTAGGATTGACTTTTGGCGCGTGTGCTTCGGAGGACCATACCATGATCTGCTCGGTTTCGGCAAAGTAGTTGACTGGGTTGGCGTCCAATTTCAGAACGCCGAGCTTGTGAAGTGGTGCGTACTCCTCGGGTATAATCTTGGTCGCATCCAGGACGTCAAAGCCAAAGGCGAGAGCGTCTTCCTCGTCAATGATCTGGGCGCAGAGCTCCCACTCTGGCCCGTTTCCGGACTCGATGGCCTCCCAGAGATCCTGCCGATGGTAGTCCGCGTTTTGGCCAGCAAGGATCTGGGCCTCCTCCCATACCAGGCTCGCCTTGCCCTGGCGCGTCTTGAAGTGCCATTTGATGAGCTTCGAGTCACCGTCATCCGTGACAAAGCGGAAAGTATGCACTCCGAAGCCGTCCTGGATCTTGTCAACCTCATATTCTGCAAGGTTCCTTGCTTAGATGACATACCATGTGACGGTAACTGCGAGGAATACCATATCCAGCCATGGCCCAGAACAGCGTGTGCAAGGTGGACGTCTGCTGGCTGAAGAAGTCCCAGGCAGAGTCGTGAGCCGTCGCCGCTTGGGGGATCTCCTTGTCGGGGCGAGGCTTGACGGCGTGGATGAGGTCGGGGAACTGAATTGCGTCTTGGATGAAAAAGACGGGGATATTGTTGCCAACAATGTCAAAGCTGCATCAAAGTCAGTTGGTCTCCCTCCGTATCGACCCCTGGACAGCAGCTCGTCAGATGAGGTCACTTACTTTCCCTCGTCCGTGAAGCTGGCACTTGTCAGAAACGGCATCACATCACATTCAGCAGAAAGGACACTCACAATCTAGTCGCAAAGCCATGGACGTCACGCACCGTGTCGGCACTGCCGCGCGATCCGGCGACGGTTGAGAAGCGCACAAATGTCGAGGTCTGCTTGCCTTCCTCGGACAGGAAGCTGGCAGCCGTCATGTTGCTGTAGTCGCCGTAGCTGGTAAACGTTCCGTATGCTCCCGCGCCACGAGCGTGGACGGCGCGCTCAGGGACCTTGTGACTGTCAGGAACCGTTGGCATGCGCCATCATCCGACGAGGGTACGCACTCGTTCGTGGTCGAAGCGAGTCATCTTCTGGCGGAAGATGAAATCCTCGAGGAGAACAGATCCCCTGGTACCACCGGCCTTCAGACTCTGCTGGTCCTCGATCGGCCCGCCCACATCCGAGGTCATAAACTCATCCTTGTCGTCAATCTCATACTGGGTCACGTGGCTGTGTGATCCAGAGTCGTCGTCGTTGGCCCGTCTGGCCAAAGAGGCAGGGTCTGCAAAGGGGCATTGCGCGGATGTGATACCGGCAAGGCTGACGGCGGCCAGCAGGAGTACCGGGCTATGCATGATGGAAGGGTTCCCTCGCGGAAAGATGTGACCTTGTCGATGATGCAGGTATGGCTAGATGAGTCAAACCCTGAAAATAAAATGGAAAGCTATGCCAAAGACAGGACGACAGGTCTATTTATGTATCGTTCGGGTCAGTGCATATGGCCCGGGGACGCGAGGCGACGGGGTCTTAGACATCTGGAGGCCACGGACATTGGATTTCAGGCACCGATCCAGACATCAGGGAGACAGAGGCGTACAAAGCTGGGACGTTTGACCGGGCAGGGACTCTGTGAGCCGACTCGAGATGCGTCATTGGGCTCGTGACGGGGGAAGGACCTCACCTAAGCCGCTCCCTCGGCGATGACCTCACACCGGGGCGGACTTGCTCCATCCACTCCATCCACCACGACCATCCTGGCCACGAGGGGACGACGCTCAAAGCCTCGACGGGCCAGGCAAGACAAGAATCCACTCTTCTCATTTGGTTCAGTCAGGCGTGGAGAACCCAAACTTGGAAACCGGCGCGCGGTGTGGTGTGATGTGATGACACGGCTGCAAGCACGTTCGACGCAGGGTGTGGGATCTGGGGTGGTGGTGAACGACCATGCCTTCCAATATGGGGCTGACAGAACCATAAGACGTGATAGGAGCTGTGCGTGTGAGACGGCAACGAAGAGGGGGACCAGAGTGTGGCCTAGACTTGAGCATGGGCATGGGCGGGGGCTGGTGCAAGAAGGCTCGGCCTCGACACGATCATCAACAAATCATCAAAATTTCCATGACCGGGAAAGGCAGTCAGTCTCCGGCCTCTCCACAGCAGCGGCCCATCGTCCGAGCTGCCACTTCACGTTACCCAGGTTGCGCTCGTTACCCATGTCGCGCTCATCCAACCACTGGCAGGCCAATGGTCACCGTGGGCTCAGCAACAACGTTCCCTGCCGGCGTGGACAGGGTGGAGGCCAAGGCTCGAATGCACTCTCCAAGCGTCTTGGCTGCGTCTTCATCTTCTTGATGGCTGCATTCATCACTTGGTCCCATCGTCTTCGATGTGCGGCTTCATGATGCGGCTCCCTTTGTCCGCCACCAGCGAGATTGTTGGTCTTCAAGGCACAGCGTAAGCTCGACCGGTGTGGCTCGAACGGAGAGCCAACAGACAACGAGTTTGGGCCCAAGACATGAAGCTCTCAGCAATAGCACCAAGCTCCTGTGTGACCTCGTTGGGTCGCTGCTTGGCTCGCTTGGGGTCCACCATGAGACGCGTCGCGGGACCAGCAAGACACGTCGAAACGACATGGAAAGTCTATCATCCGCTGGAAGGCATCTTCTTGGCCTTGCAAGATGGGGATCAGCCTTGCCTTGCACAAATGAGGCGAGCTCTCCGCCTCGGCATGCGCCCGTGGACGATGACGACGAGAACCGCGATGAAGAGAGAACAAGAGTCGTTGCAGCAGGGCTCTTTGCTGGCTCGGCACCTTAACTCAAAGAAGCACCTTAACTACATTACCTTATCTTAAGGTACCTAGGAGACAGATCGGGAGACCCACATGAGCTGGGCCGCGTCTTCGATCCCGTCGACCGGTCACAATGCCGGTCCAGTAATGTGCAGTCTTGTGGTGGTATCACCGGCCAAGCGAATGGTCAGCCGGAAGTGTCCGGATCAGTGGCGCAGGTCTTTACATTTCTGGGGTTACTCAACACCGTCTTGCACCGTCTTGACGCAGACTTCCCAGCCAGAAGAGTTGACAAGCACATGTGTGACAAGTCCTCAGCGCGAACGGACTCTGCGGCCGAGCGGATCGGCGATGACGGCGCGTCGAGCGCTCGGCGGGCGGTGGGGTTGCGGACTAATCGGACGTCACAGGAGGAAACCCTCCTGAATCTGCCCAGGGTTTGCTTCTGCTGCAACGCCAGGCCTGCTGCCGCCAGGGGACGGGATCCTCCCCTCAAGCGAGGCAGCAATCAAGCGAGGCAGCAATCTGCATGCTGCCGAGGTTGCAGCGCTGAAACGTGGACAAGCTTGGGGGTTGTCACCGGAGAATATGAGTCTGCGGTTAACAGGCAAGCTGGTGCCAAAAAAAGCCGCGTGGGAAAAAGATAGGTACTTGTATTAGCTAGGGACCCCTATACAAATAGAAGTACTTTCCAGTTTCTATCATTGAATTTTCCTACCCTTTATTTTTACTATATCTCGCATCCTCTGTAGCATTGAGTCTATCTAGTGATTGACGCGTTCTGGTTATGCTTGGAGGTCTACCTAGGCCTCTATAGCTAGAATTAGCGGTGATGGAATTGGTGGTGGAATCGCCACGCGGCTTTTTTTGGCACCAGCTTGACAGGTCGCGAACTATGCGACCCTAGCTTCGCTTTCACCAGGAAACCCACGCTACGGCTGTCCTGCAATTCGGCACTTCTTGAATGTGCCGCTGAGGACAGGTTTCAATTAGCCAATGGGTCTCTTGACATGAGTTGAGTGTCTTGTTGTCCAGCAGATACTAGGCATGGCAGGGATCCGGTTCTGAGTTTGATACCCGAGAGTTAAAGAGGCGAAAGTTTGGTGAAGCGATGGTCCCTCACATTCATGCTTTGTAGGCTATCTGTGTTCAGGGATTTGATCGGGAACCTTGTGCTCTCTCCCGCACACTTGATCCGCCAATCATTCCCATGTGATGGATTCCTACATTAACGCCTGCTGTTTCTATTTCGAGACATGCAATCACCAACAGCAAACCCGTCCACTCCATCCGCAGAGCCTCCGCACCCTCTGCAAATCTAGCAACTATTTCCGTCCCCTGTCTTCTGATTTGTAGTCAAAGAGTCAATGCAAGAACTGTATCGGTCGAACATCATCGGTAACATTCATCCCCGCCCTTGAGCGCTAGCATATAGATATCCCACGCGCGGCAACACACTATCCATGATCCTGTCTCATCGATCAGGCTGACATCCGCAGGACATGCATGTGCAAACCAGGACACACCGGGCAAACAAGAAAATAACGCTCCGCCCCGAGACAAGCCCTTCTAGCAGACGAATCACCATCAGCACGTTAGTAACATCCCACAACAGCGTGACCGCCCTTCCTCAGCACCATCAGCGGCAGCGACTCGAAACAGAGCCTCTAGCCATGCCAGCCATGTCACCACGGCGGAGCCGAAAGAAAAGAAGAAGAAAAAGGGCCATGCGCCACAGCAGATGACGGGTTGGCTGACACGCGGCCGCTGCGTCGCCCTCGCTGCCGTCTCCGGACCTCCCACGGCCAGTCACACCACGGGACCTGGAGGTTGTAAGCTTACATGGGAAAGTAGAGAAACAACCCCGCGGAGCACCATCCGCGTACACCGAGACAAGGACGAATCGCGGAGAGCAAGGCAACGTCAGGGCAGAAGTCGTCCACATTCCTATTGACTACTACATCCAGAAAAAAAAAAACGGTAGAATGACTCTCAAGCTTGGAAAAAAAAAAGTAGAACGCCCTGAGTCCCAGAAAGGCTCTTCTGAGCCCCACGCTCGTCATCCAGGTAGATGCTTCGCTGTACAAGGACGATATGGGGATACACGCGCCGGGGTTCCAACAAGGAAACCCTCCTCCTGCTCCTCCTCCTCGTACCTACAGCGCGAAGGCGCAAAAAAAAAAAAAAATACAAGAAAAGGAGGCCACATGTGCACCAGTCATTTGCCTGCCAGTTCGTCCTCTGTTCGCATACGTTGGTCTCATTTGTTTCCCCGTCTCCGCGGGAGAATTACGTTTCGTAGCCACAAACCCCGCCGCCGCCGGTTCTTTCTTTTAAACTTGTACATTTGCTGCTCCTCACCACCCTTGAGTCTGACGCGCTCAGGTTCCCTGTCCTTGTGGCCGCGAGCTCGTCATCTCGCCGTATCGGCCACGGTTCTGCGTCGTATCGTAGGCCTGAAGCACGCGCGCCTGACTCTCGTCCGCCTGCGAGAAAGCGTAGCCACGCTGCTTCCGCATACGCTGCACCTGGCGAACCTTGCGAATGGCCTTTTGGAATTGTTCCATGCTGGTCACGGATCAGTCAATCGTGTTCATATTGAGCCGTCAAGGGTGAGAACATACCGAGGTCGATAATCTTGGATATTGTACTTTTGAATCTCCTGGATGTGATGATACGACTCTGGCCTGTACATGCGCTTGGCATACTTCCACGCAAAGTCCCGCAGCAAGCACAGGATGGCAAGAGCAAAGCTTTGAAGCCAGAAGATGGGGCTGCTGTACAGCTTGGGAACGATGCCGTGGAACTCGGGAGAAAAGGGGATCATGGGGGCGACGGTGCCGTAGACGGCGATGAAGATCCACCAAATGGCCATGGAGCCGGGAATGGCAATGACATGGTACTTGGTCCAGTTGCTGGTGACAAGGCCGGCCTTGCCGAGGACCGTGAGGAGGACGGGTGCGTAGAGGGCGGTACCCCACATCCAGTGGCCGGCGATCTGACCGTTCTCGAGTATCAGGTCGCCGTGCCAGATGAGCTCGCCAAAGACGTAAAGGATGATGGAGTGGTAGACGGCGTTGAGGAGCCATTCGATGAATACCTTCATACGGAAAAACTGGTTCTGCTGGCCCATGCTGTACAGTTGAGGGTACCGATCGAGGAGGCGCGCCGAGATGAACTGATCAAGAATGCCGAGGGCCAGGGGAGGAAGAACGGTATAGAAGACGTTATAAAAGGTGAGTGTCCATGATTCGTAAATGACCGCACCTGAGAAGACGTTGCGAAATGTGTACTAAAAGAGGTCAGCGGAGGATCCTTGTGCATAGGGGCGGGAGGACATACCCAGAACTGCGTCATGTACAGAGTAATGTTCTTGTAGAACGAATACAGAATGGTCTTGGCCACACGCTGATAACTCCACGCGCCGTGAACGAGGAGAAGCTTCTTCAAGAACCTGAACTGGGCAATGGAGACGTCGGCACTGCGAGCGGCCTGCAAACCCTCCTCGCCACTGATGCCGACACCGATATGAGCGGCCTGGATCATCGAGACATCATTTGCACC